GGCCTCTCAGTATTCTGTAAGTCTCAATGAGATCCCCCCTCATCCTTCTAAACTCCATCAATTACAGACCCAGAGTACTCAACTGTTCCTCAAATGACAAGCCCTTCATCTCTGGGATCATTCTTATGAACTTATGAATGATATAAGATTAACACCACAAGAACCAATGGTGACCATTGGCACAGAAGGTCACCACTAACAGTCTATTGTGTGCTTAATTCCTGTAGCTCTGCTAAAGGATACAAAAAATAGGAAGCTGCCAAACGGTTAGCTTAATGTCTCAATGAGATCCCCACTCATCCTTCTAAACTCCATCAAGTACAGACCCAGACTCCTCAACTGACAAGCCCTTCATTTCTGGGATCATTCTTATGAACTTCCTCAGGACCACCTCTGATCCCAGCACATCCTACTCCAGATACAGGACCCAAAAAACTATGCACAATATTCTGGATGCAGTCTTACCAGAGCCTTATACAGCCTCAGTAGTATATTCCCTGCTCTTGTATTCTAGCCCTCCTGAAATGAATGCTAACATTGCATTTGCCTTCCTAACTGCCAACTGAACCTGCATGTTAACCTTAACAGAATCCTGAACTAGGATTCCCAAGTCCCTTTCTGCTTCAGAATTCTGAAGACTTTCTCCATTTAGAAAATATTCTATTCTTCCGACCAAAGTGCATAACCTCACACTTTCCCACATTGTATTCCATCTGACACTTCTTTGCCCACTGTCCCAGCCTCTCCAGGTCCTTCTGCAGCCCCGCCCCTGCTACCTGAACACTACCTGTCCCTCCACCTATCTTTGTGTCATCTGCAAACTTAACAACAATGCCCTCAGTTCCTTTGTCCAGACCCACAGCAACATGATTGACTCAACATGAATTGCCCTCTGGAATGATCGAGTTCGAGCAATTAGGAATAAGTAACATCAGCTGACCTTGCCAAAAACACTCACATCCCTAAAAGTATTTCAAAGAAAATCAAAACATGTTCACTTTTGGCAGTGATTCCACTCTGAATTCAATTTCTTGTAAACTCAACCAATATTCTCATCCCACATTCAGCCCCCTCTGTAAAACTCTCACATTTCTGTATTTCTCTGGGTTTCCCTAATTCTCGGACCCAGTAGCTGGCAGCTGCTTGAATTGTGGTTTTTCTAAATGAATTACTGTCACCTTTTTAACTTCTTCGTTGAAATAAGTTACTTCCAACATAAGTGTCTTTTGAAATGTAATTATTTTTAATGTGATCCTAATTAAATGATAGAGTTTTTAACAACTAAATCCAAAGCTTGAAGAAAAGCCCCTATCCAAATCCAAGACACCCCATCCAACCCACCCCACAACCTAGTCTTATCCTGATCCATCCTCGTTATTCTATTATATAAGAAATTGGAGCTGGTCACTCAGTCTGTTCAAGCCCACTCTGAAACTCAGTGACACAGTGACTGATTTTCCATTCTGACGCCACCTTTCTGTGTTATCCCTGTATCCCTTTATGTGTTGAATCTGTATAAACCTGTCAATCTCTGTCTTGAACATACTCAATGACTGAACTTGCACAGCTCTCTGGGACAATGAATTTCAAAGATTTACCATCCTCTGAGTGAAGAAACTTCTCCCGGTCTCAGTCTGAAATAGCCGCCTCTTTAATCTGAGACTTCGCCCGTTAGTTCGCGATCTCCCCACGCAGGGGAAACATTCTTTCTGAATCCACCCTCAACATGACGTCCCAACTCCTATACCCAATGGTCTGAGTGATGAAGGCATGTGTGCTAAATGCCTTCTTAACCACCCTGTCTATCTGTGATGCAACTCTCAAAGAACTCTCCACCTGAACCCCTAGGTCTGTCTGTTCTACAACACTACCCAGGGCCCTACCATTAATTGTCTAAGTCCTGCCCTTATTTGTTTTACCAAAATGCAATGCCTCGCATTTATCTAAATTAAACTCCATCTGCTGCTCTGTGGCCCGTTGACCCAATTGATCAAGATCCCAGAGAGTAGTAAGGGCGTGGAATGCCCTGCCTGCAAAAATAGTAGACTTGCCCACTTTAAGGGCATTTAAATGGTCATTGGATAAACATATGGATGATAATGGAATAGTTTAGGTTAGATGGGCTTCAGATTGGTTTTCACAGGTCGGCGCAACATCGAGGGCCGAAGGGCCTGTACTGCGCTGTAATGTTCTATGTTCTATGTAATGTTAGATAACCTTCTTCGCTGACCACTATACCACCAATCTTGATGTCATCCACAAACTTACTAACTATCCCTCCTATATTCTAATCCAAATCATTTATATAAATGACAAACAAAAGTGAACCCAGCACTGATCCCAGTGGAACACCGCTGGTCACAGGCCTCCAGTCCAGCAATCAACCCTCCACCACTGTTTCGACCATCAAGTTAATTTTGTATCCAATTGGCAAGCTCACCCTGAATCCCATCTGACCCAACTTTACTAATTAGTCTACCGTGTGGAACCTTGGTAAAGGATTTACTAAAGTCCGTGTAGACAATGTCTACCCCTCTGTCCTCATCAATCTTTTTGGTTACATCCTCAAAAAAACAACCCAAGCCATGCTGACTGGCCTTTCCATATGCATGTAAACCTTATCTGTCAGATTCCCCTCCAGTACCTACCCCACCAGTGGTGTAACAATCACAGGTCTATAGCTGCCAGCCTTCTCTTTACAGCGTTTTTTAAATAAAGGCACAACATTAGCCACCCTGCAGTCCTCCGGCACCTCACCCATGGCTATAGATGATACAAATATCTCTGCTAGCCCTGGAATTTTTTCCCTAATTTCCCACAATGTCCTGGGATACACCTGATCAGGTCTCTGAGATTTATTGACCTTTATCTTTTTTAAGACCTGCAGGACTTCCTCTTGTGTAATGTGGACTGTTTTCGAGACGTCAATGTTTATTTCCCCGAGTTCCCTAACTTCCATGTCTTTCTCCACAGTTAATACTGGTGAAATTTTTGTTTAGTATTTCTCTCATCTGTGGCTCCATGCATAGATGACCTCATTGATCTTTAAGGACCCTATTGTCTCCCTAGTTGCTCTTTAGCTCTTAATGTACTTGTATAATCTCTTTGGAATTATCCTTAACCCTATCTGCCAAGGCTGAAGTTTTTTTTCCTCAATTTGTTCAGAGGATGTGAGTGTGACTGGCTAGGCCAGCATTTGTTAAACATTCATTCATGATTGCCCAGAGGGCAGTTAAGAGTCACCCCCATTGATATGGGTCTGGAGTCACACGTAGGCCAGACCAGGTAAAACAGACTGCCTTCCCTAAAGGACATGGTTGCTGTTAGACTAGGTTTTTATTCGGGAATTTTTTTTTGATTGAATTCACATTTCACTGTCGGCCTTGGTAGGATTTGTACCCCTGTTCCCAGAACATTGCTCTGGGGTTCTGGATTATTGGCATTACCACTGGCGTGACCCCATTACCTTCACCAGCAGTTTTACCCAATATTCCAGGTATGGTCTCACAAAACTCGATATCATTTCAAAAGGTATCTTTACTGCTGTACCCAAATCCTCTTGGAATAAAAACCGCACACCATTTAACTTCCTAATTGCTTTTTGTACTGTCATATTGACTCTCAGCGAGTCATAAACAAGGATACCCGAGTCCCTTTGAAGTTTAACCCTTCCTAGTCTCTCACCATATGAGATTCTCTATATATTTTCCTAACAAAGTCAATAACCTTTCATCTCTGCACTTTGTATTCCATCTCTCAGGTTTTTGCCCAGTCACTTCCCCTCAAAGTGTTTGAACCTCCAGACAGCTCCCACTCCCATCTGGTTTTGTGTTATTGGCTACCTTGGGTTTTGTACAGTCAATGATAGATTTAATCCCCACATCTAATCATTCATACAGATTGTGAATAGCTGAGGCCCAAACACGTTCACATTTGTAAGCCTTGTTTACCTGTCTTTCTAACATGTTGATACTTATCATGTGTCTCCTGCTTTAATGTTTTTTTCCCACAGGAATTTTAACTGTCAACCCTGAATGCTATCAGCTTATTAGTGATAGAAGCCCTGTTTTCAAGACATCAGTGTTTATTTCCCCAAGTTACAGAGACCAGAGTGTACAGTGTGTGGCTATCACTCCAGTACAGTAAACAACGACTCTGTTTCTCAGACAACATGTTAAACTGACCCTTTCTGCCTCTGCAGATTGATGGAAAAATTTCTGGGGATATTTTGAAACAGAGCCCAGTGTTGTTTTCGTAACCTGGCAACATCCATCCCTGAGCCAACACCACCACTATTAACTGGTTACTTATCTCATTTGTTATTTAGAGACCTTGCTGTGTTCAGATTGGCTGACAGTGTCTATACCAGAGATTATTTAGTTGGCTCTCCGAGAATCTGCATCCTGTGAAAATCCACGTTCAGATCACCTGATCTCATTCTTTATTGGCCTCATTTTTAAACGTTGATGATGGTTATAGCCATGTCCTTGGGGCCTGGGCCATGCTGTTTGAACCACAATTCGGAAGGAGTTTGTAGCGTCTGTACATCAACCAATCACCTTGTGCGCACGCACACACACACTCCCACACCCACCACACTCCCACACCCACCACCCCCCCCACACACACACACACACTCCCACAC